CCACTTGTTATGTAATAGTTAAATAAATGGGTTGACAGGGCATTGAAAATGGGTCGTGGATGGGTGTTCCAGCATGACAACGATTGGGTCACCAAGAAAACAATTGGTAACACACTACGCCAACAAGGACTGAAATCCTGCAGTGCCCGCAAGGTCCCTCTGCTCAAGAAAGCACATGTCCAGGTCCGTCTGAAGTCTGCCACTGAACATCTGAATGATGCAGAGAAGGACTGGTTGGAAGTGTTGTGGTCAGATGAGACCAAAATCGAGGTCTTTGGCATCAACTCAACTTGCCGTGTTTGGAGGAGGAGGAATGCTGCCTATGACCCCAAGAACACCATCCCAACTGTGAAACGTGGTGGAAACATGCTGCTTTGGGGGTGTTTTTCTGCTAAGGTGACAAGACAACTGCACCGCATCACAGGGACGATGGATGGGGCAACGTACCATCAAATCTTGGGTGAGAACCTTCTTCCCTTAGCCAGGGCATTGAAATTGGTCGTGAATGGGTGTTCCAGCATGACAATGACCCAAAACACACGGCCAAGGCAACAAAGGAGTGGTTCAAGAAGAAGCACATTAAGGTCCTGGAGTGGCCTAGCCAGTCTCCAGACCTTAATCCGATTGAAAATCTGTGGAGGGAGCTGAAAGTTCGAGTTGCCAAACATCAGCCACCAAACCTTAATGATTTGGAGAGGATCTGCCAAGAGGAGTGAGCCAAAATCCCTCCTGAGATGTGTGCAAACCTAGGGGCCAACTCCAGGAAACATCTGACCTTTGTGATTGCCAGCAAAGGATTTGCCACCAAGTACTAAGTCATGTTTTGTGAAGGGGATCAAATCCTTATTTCCGTCATGAACATGCAAATCAGTCATCATTTGTTAGACATGCATTTCTGCTGAATTTGTTGTTGCTATTCTGTCTCTCAGTGTTACAATACACCGAACATTCGATTTTTAGACCGATCATTTCTTTGTGAGTGGGCAAACATTCAAAATCAGCCGGGGATCAAACACGCATTTCCTTCACTGTAGATTGCAAAAGAAAAATCTGACGGGTTATAACCCTCCCTTGCTTTAGCCAAAATGAAAAAATAAATAAATAAAAAATGTCTTGCCTATCATAAAGAAAAATGTCTTATTAACTGGCCTCCATTTTAGATGTGTGAACAGTTAGTTTTGTTTTTGAGTTTCACTCGTTTCATGACTTTAGTTTCTATTCCCTAGAAACGGAACTACCTTGTATGGTGGTCCTCAGCCATTTGTGGTTTCTATCTTCTTTGATAAGAATATAATATTTCATCAGTCTTTCTGACCACGCATTAAACTTCCAGAGATTGCACTTTGGTGTCCGGAGCTTTATTCCTCCCGGGTCCAGAAGGTTGAAATATTCGAGGACATTTTTGGCCACAGACAGGAATTTGATCCTTTCGCCTTTAGTTCTACTTCCATATGTGGTGCAAATCTGTAATGTTTTGCCATCTTCAGTCTCCCAAGAAATCGTATTAACTTTTTATTTCCAGGTTCAACGCGCTTGCTGTCTCCCTTAGAAATTGCAGCCTATCCAAGAAAGACCGTGTGCTGCAAATCTTCAATCCAAAGTCATAGACATTTTTTGTTTTAACTATTTATCAATGACAACAAAAAAAAAGAATCAGAATACACTCGGTACAGAGGCATAGTGGGTACATGAGGAACCAGGACAAAAAAAAATAGCCGCTGTCCCATTCTATAACTGGCCTTCACCTGAGGAACCAGGACCTTTCAGGACACACTTTTGCAGGCATTTTATTGTCTCTGGAAGTTCTGGCGCCTTGTCTGGAGTGCTGTAGCCGGCTGCAAAGAATAATTGCATTGTCAGTGGGGAGAATAAATCCCCTCTAATGTTCCATCTAAACGAGGAGAAAAATCAGGCTAAACATGGAGAGAAGAGAGAGGGAAGGAAGCAAGGACCACAAAGCTCCGAATTCCCTTCCTTGTCATCTCTCACCTCGACTACTGCAACTCCCTCCTCATTGGATGACCTTTACATAGAATATCCTCCCTCCAGTCCATCATGAATACTGCTGCCAGGCTCATCCACCTTACCAACCATTCAGTGTCTCCCACCCCTCTCTGCCAATCCCTCCACTGGCCTCCATTCAGTGTCCTCCACCCCTCTCTGCTAATTCCTCCACTGGCCTCCACCCCTCTCTGCCAATCCCTCCACTGGCCTCCATTCAGTGTCCTCCACCCCTCTCTGCAAATCCCTCCACTGGTATCCACTCAGTGTCCTCCACCCCTCTCTGCCAATCCCTCCACTGGCCCCCATTCAGTGTTTGCTACCCCTCTCTGCCAATCCCTCCACTGGCCTCCATTTAGTGTCCTCCACCCCTCTCTGCCAATCCCTCTACTGGCCTCCACTCAGTGTTCTCCACCCCTCTCTGCCAATCCCTCCACTGGCCTCCATTCAGTGTCCTCCACCCCTCTCTGCCAATCCCTCTACTGGCCTCCACCCCTCTCTGCCAATCCCTCTACTGGCCTCCACCCCTCTCTGCCAATCCCTCTACTGGCCTCCACTCAGTGTCCTCCATCCCTCTCTGCCAATCCCTCCACTGGCTTCCACTTGCTCAACGAATAAAATTCAAAATACTAACAACTTAAAAAGCCATCCACAACTCTGCTCCCGGCTACATCACCAATCTGGTCTCAAAATATAAATCAAACTGCCCTCTGTTTCCTCTTGTACCAAATTGTATTGTAACTGTAATGTCGGCCTTCATTTTGTACAGCGCTGCACAGACTGTTGGCGCCATATAAATCCTGTATAATAATAATAATGGATGAGGAAGAAAAAAAAAAAAGAAAGAGGCATAGAGTAGGGGTGGAGGATGGAAAGAAAAAGGTAGGAAGCTGGTGGGGACAGTAAAAGTACCCCTGTTCAACCACCTACGGGGCGCTGGTTTCAAGCAGTTCTTTATATTTCCTGGAGAATTTAAATTGGGTCCACTAGAACCAGGTCTTGCAAAAGCAATTCTCTAATAATAGACATTAAAAAAATTAATAAAAAAGAAAGCAGTGAGTGCGCAATACTCTCCCCCCCCCCCCCCCCCCCCCCCCCCCCCCCCCCCCGGCACGGCATCTCAGCTAAAAAGGAGTGCACACTGCCCGAGAAACCTCTTCTGTTTTTCTGGTTCTTGCTCGTGGCTCTGGCCAAGTGTCTCCATCTTCAAGTGTGGACTCGTAACAACACTTACATGGTGTGCAGCGTGTCTGAGGAATATTTATGGCTCTTAACCGCTTCCCGTCCACCCTATAGCAGCTGTACTGCTACAGGGCGGCACGGGTGCACAAAATCACGTACAAATAAGTGATTTTGCATTTCCGGGTAGGGAGCACACGCCCACACCCGCGTTGCCATTCGTGACGGGGTCTGAATCAGTGGAGTAATTAGAAACCTCAGGACCCCATTGCAAGAAACCATGAACAGCCCCCCTGGCTGGGGTCCTTCCCTCCAAGCTCAGTGGTAAAATGCCAGGGCCCAGTCGCAAGTACAACCTTTGTGACCCTGGTAGTTCCACCACTGATGTTAAAATAAAAAACTACTAACACCAGTGGTGGAACTACCAGGGTCACAAAGGTCATACTTGCGACTGTGCTTTGGTGTTTTACAACTGGGCTTGGAGGGAAGGGCCCCGGCCAGGGCTCAGGAGGGACCCTTCTTGGTTTCTTGCAATAGGGTCCTGAAGCTTCTAGTTACACCACTGATTCAGACCCCGTCACATTACTCATTAGAACCCTGCAAGTGCTGCAGCTAAATAAATGGTAAAAAAAAAATAATAAAATAAATAACTACTATTTTATTATTTTTTTTACCATTTATTTAGCTGCAGCACTTGCAGGGTTCTAATGAGGAAAGTGACGGGTTCTGATTCAGTGGAGTAACTAGAAACTTCAGGACCCAATAAAGGATCCCTCCTGAGCCCTGGCCGGGGCCCTTCCCTCCAAGCCCAGTGGTGAAAGCCAGGATCCAGTCACAAGTATGACCTTTGTGACCCTGGTAGTTCCACCACTGGTGTCAGTAGTTTTTTTTATTTATTATTTTTTTACCATTTATTAAGCTGCAGCACTTGCAGGGTTCAAATGAGGAAAGTGAAGGGGTCTGAATCAGTGGAGTAACTAGAAACCTCAGGACCCCATTGTAAGAAACCATTTAGGGCCCCCCTGGCCAGGCCTAGTGGTAGACTGCCAGGGCCGGTCGCAAGTACGACCTTTGTGACCCAGGTAGTTCCCCCACCGCAGAGGCGATTAAATACCACCGAAAGATAGATCCATTTGTGGGAAAAAAAAAAAAAAAAAAAAAAGACGCATTCCATTTGGGTGCAGCATGGCATGACCACGCAATGGTCAGGGAAAGTGATGCAACGCCGTATCACAACAAATGGCCTGGTCAGGAAGGGGGAGGGGTTGAAGTATGAACAATGAAAACAAGATAAATGGGGATACAACAAATTTTGTTTTTTTTTTGGGGGGGGGGCAAAAATTGCAGCATTTCTAAAACATTAACTAAACATTTCCTTCCAATAGATGTTCTATGGACTAATCAGTTCTATTAGTTTAAAAAAAAAAAAAGGGGGGGGGGGGGGATTTCGCTCTGATGTCCAATCAGACTTCTTATATCTGTGAAACATTTCCCGTAATCTGAACGCATTGAGTGACGTGTCTTCTCCGATGCCTAACAAGGTTTCGTTCTTGAGTGAACGATTTCCCGCACTCAGCACATGAATAAGGACGCTCGCCCATGTGAATCCTCTGGGTGAGCTGCGCGGCGTCGTGCCTTTGCTGATGCTTAACAAGGTGTCCTTTCTGCGTGAAGGATTTCCCGCACTCCATGCATGAATAAGGACGCTCCCCCGTGTGAATTCTCTTGTGTATAACAAGGTTTCCTTTCCGTCTGAAAGATTTCCCGCAATCTGAACATGAAAAGGGACACTCACCCGTGTGACTTCCCTGGTGTTGCACAAGGCTTCCTTTCGAAGCAAAGGATTTCCCGCACTCCGAACATGAATAGGGACGCTCGTCCGTGTGACTTTTCAGGTGTTTCATAAGATTATCTTCCCCGTTCTTTAAACATGAATAAGGACGCTCACCTGTGTGTCTTCTCTGATGTTTAACGAGGGCTCCTTTTAGAGTGAAAGATTTCCTGCACTCTGAACATGAATAAGGACGCTCTCCCATGTGACGTCTCTGGTGTTGAAAAAGGCTTCCATTCGAAGTGAAAGATTTCCCGCACTCTGAACAGGAATAGGGACGCTCACCCGTGTGAATTCTCTGGTGTTCAGCAAGGCTTCCTTTTTGAGTGAAACATTTCCCGCACTCTGAACATACGTAAGGACGCTCACCTGTGTGAATTCTCTGGTGTACAAGAAGTATCTTATTCTCAGTGAAAGTTTTCCCGCACTCTGAACATGAATAGGGACGCTCACCCGTGTGAACTCTCTGGTGTATAAGAAGTGTCCTTTTCTGAGTGAACGATTTCCCACACTCTGAACATGAATAAGGACGATCACCTGTGTGAATTCTGTAGTGTGTATGAAGAGTGCCCTTACGTTTAAAACATTTGCTGCGCTCTGAACGAGGGAAAGTACGCTCACCCGTGTGAATTCTCTGGTGTAAAATAAGTGCTCCTTTCCGAGTGAAACATTTCCCGCACTCTAAACATGAGAACAGATTGTCCCCTCGGTGAGCTCCTTCATGGGGTGAGGAAGATTCCTGGGGATTAGATGGATCTGTTGGTCTATCTGCAGTGTGAGATCCTAAATGGACATTTGCACTCCTAGTATGTGGTTGGTCAGAAGATTCCCCCTGATTAGAGGGATCCATTGATGTCTCCGGACAGGAAGGTCTGTGATGGATATTGGGTGTATTTGGATTCACTCCTGGAGAATCCTGTGTGATGGCATTATCTTCTGACTTCCAATCAGCAGATAATAGAAGATGTAGCTCCAAGGAATTCCTGACATCAGCGCCATCTGATGGAGAGAAATGGAAGAAATGTCAGAATTCACAAATAACTGGAGATTTAGCTCCTCCCCCCGTCAGTGGAATAAGTGGAAATGCCGCTTACCATGACGTTATATTGAGGAATGGAGATGGACCTTCCATATGGTGTCCAGTATCTCCTCCTCATTTGTTGGAAACATGACGTTATATTGAGGAATGGAGATGGACCTTTCATATGGTGTCCAGCATCTCCTCCTCATTTGTTGGGAACATGACGTTATATTGAGGAATGGAGATGGACCTTCCATATGGTGTCCAGTATCTCCTCCTCATTTGTTGGGAACATGATGTTATATTGAGGAATGGAGATGGACCTTTCATATGGTGTCCAGCATCTCCTCCTCATTTGTTGGGAACATGACGTTATATTGAGGAATGGAGATGGACCTTTCATATGGTGTCCAGTATCTCCTCCTCATTTGTTGGGAACATGACGTTATATTGAGGAATAGAGATGGACCTTTCATATGGTGTCCAGTATCTCCTCCTCACACACACTGCTGGGTGTGTGTATAAAACCCCCTCCCCCCCTTGCTACCACAACTATAAGAAATATGGCAGTAGCAGTAAAAAGGTTAAATATACATTTTGATTTTTATACAAAGTTTAAAATCTTTATTGTATGGACAAACTATTGCAGGATTGTTGCCTTGGTTTGGATATTACTAGAAGTAAATAGAAGGGAGTAAAACTGATAATGAATGCCTTGTTGCATGGCGAGCCCAGGGCCGGGGTATACTGTGTGAAGATCTGATAATGATCGAACTTTCCTTATATTACAATCCTTATACTATTCCAAGGTTTCGGTTACTTACCTCCCACCGTCAGGATATTCAATTAAAAAATGAATAAGTGGCTTCTGTGTACTAATCTAAGACTCCCATCCCTGGAGATAGAGGCATACTGTGAGGATGTGGAATTGGACGATGGGAAGATCTACTAATTATCCAACATTTCTCCATAAAACTACAAACCTTCTACTCAGCTGTAAATGAGACTGCGACCCGTTTCTTCCATAGTGTCCGCTACTTACCTGTGTGGATAGGTGGAGACATTTCTTCCTGTTCACTCTTCATGACCATCCCGACCTCCTCCGCGGACGGCTGATCCCCCCCCACATACGTCTCCTCTTCTTCCTCTTTAACCTCAACTTTTATATTAATCTGTTCTTCACCCTAAACCCCAAAAATAATAGAAAAGGTCTATTAACTTTCAGGTATATAAAAGAAAGACACAAATCAGTGGAGCTCTGCAGGGACCAGCTGATGGGGCGGTATCCAATCACAGCCCACAGCCCTGTGTTGACAATCAACACAGGGCTCTGTGCAGAGGGGATGACCTCTCTGTTTCTTCTCCCTGCAAAAGCAGGGAGAAAAAAAACACAGATTTATTTTATTTTTTTGTAGTAAAAAGCAGCACACGTTACACAAATTAACACTTGTTAGGAACACACTTAACTATTCATTACCCCAAAATGTTAACCCCTTCCCCACCAGTGATGGTGTATAGTACAAGGGGGCTATCATGTACCTGGTGATGGAGGCCAATGGAGAGAGGGCTTCCCTGGGAGTGGGATAGCGGGAGTCAGGCCCAAAGTTGCACAGGTCGCCTGAAGGAGTGCTGGTTGGTGGTCCACTCAGAAGCACAGCTGGTGCACGGAGATAGGTCTGAAGACAGGAGGCGCCTGTGCATGGTATGCAAGCCCTTCCGGGATTTAGGTGTTTACTGGGTAGTCGGTTCAAGCCAAGGTCAGGTACCAGGTGGGAATCAGAGCAGACGTAGTCAGATGGGATAGCCGAGGTCATACACAGAGGAGCGAGATAGAGAGTATCAGTAAGCCAAGCCGAGGTCAGATCAGGGGTAAGGCAGAGTAGACAGGTCCAGGAGCAAGCCGAGTCAGTAACAGGAGATCACAGGTCAAGTCACAGGAACAGGGCACAGGGAGCTAAAGATCATCCAGCAACTTGAGGAAGTGATGAGCCTCCTTATAAAGGCCGTCTGGCACCAGACTGAGGTTGATGTGTCCTTCTGCGGCCATGCAGAGTACTTGCAGAACTGCCAGACCTTCCAGAACCTCTGCTGTGGACAGGACCTTGACAGGGGCATTATTTTCATTTTATATAATTAAAGAACAAATTTCAAAGGAGCGGAAACTGCATCTAATTTTCGACATCCTCCCCTGCTACATTTACACACTTTTCCCAGCGTCTAACTCATGCCTGGAAAGCTTCAGCATAGAAAGATTTGTCAGGACACCTGAACCATCCTAGGACAGCTGGCTTCACTTCCTCATCGTTGTGTTCACCGATGAAGAGATTCGTCTCTTGAGCGATTTCACAACAGGTTATGGGTCGATGATCCAGGATCAGGAGCTCCATGCAGTGAAGGTTCAGAGGAATGACTGCGGTGGGCTGGGAACTGCCACGGCCAGGATCGTCACTGATGGACAGACGGCCATTTTTGAAATGTTTACACCATTCAAATGTCTTACTGCGGCAGAGCGTCTCATTGCTGTACTGTGCTTGTTCCCCCCCCCCACTTCAGTGGTGGACTGTCCCTTGGCGTCATTACATCCAATGCAGGGCTATGGACTGGGTATCGGTTAAGTAGATCTTCCATTCTATATCCCATAGTCTAACTGCGGGGAGATGATCTTTCAGTTTCCTGGATTTGGGCTTTAACTGTCCAATCACAGACAAGATATGTAGTAGGTCTACTGTCCTGCTTTGTTCAGAACATATTACATGGTAATTTCCTGGGAATTTTGGGGGGAGGGGGGCAGAGATCCAACCCATGGGGGTGCATCATCACTCTGGCTTGGAATCACAACTGCATAGAACAGCAGCATGTCATTCAACTTCTGACAGCAGTTGGAGGAACACAAGCAGGATGAGGACCTATGATGTCATGTTGTGGCAGCACCCAAATATTGCAGAGTTCCCCTTTAAGCTTTAACATTTCTAAAAGCATCTGTTTGCAGAACCAGGTGATCATCACACTTCCTTGCCTCATTTCCTGTGGAACAATGTGTTCCAGTCTAGCAGCTGACATATATATATATATATTTTATCTAAATGTGAAACCGCAAAGGCTTTATCCTCCTGAATTGTTTAGGATGTATTTTAAAGGTACAAAAAGTAAAGAGGAAATATATGCATTGTGACATAATTGTTGATATATACACCATGTATGATGCTTTTCAAGGAACTTAGCTTGCAGACACGAGTCTGGCTAGGTCAACCAGCTGGTAAATAAAAAGCTTGTTTTCCCTCATGTTCGTGTCCGGAGTTTCCCTGGAATTCCCAAAGTTGCCATTACAATGTGATTGGACCCACAGAAAAAGGGACATATATTGATTTTAAAGAAACAAGAAAAATGGTGGATGCCCAATAAGGAAGCTGGAAATGGGGATCGGGAAAGGGCAACAAATACTGCACTTCATATATAAAAAATAAACAATAAAGCAAGAGAATGCATAGAAGAAGGTCATCTCACAAAGTTCAGTATCACCGAGTCCACCTACCTGATAATGGTGAGGGATGGTGTGACCTTCCTGTGTGGAATCCTGGGAATTCAGAGGACGGGGACATCTCTCTGGTGGGTTCACATCGCTGGATCCATCTACCTGCTGATGGTGAGGGATGGTGTGATCTTCCTGTGTGGAATCCCGGGAATACAGAGGACGGGGACACCTCTCTGGTGGGTTCCCATGACTGGATCCATCTGTAGGAAACACACATACTGACTGAATCCATTGTTTCTATATCTTTATCAGATGATGGGGGATCTAGGTGGACCCTCCGTACTGCTCTCTCCTTTACAATAAAGTCTCCTCTTACCCTGGTGATGTGAGGGGCGGCTGATTGTCCATCATGACGTCCTTGTAGAGATGCTTGTGTCCTTCTAAATACTCCCACTCCTCCATGGAGAAATAGACAGTGACATCCTGACACCTTATAGGAACCTGACACACACAATGATACAGTCACCATCCAGACACATCCCTTGTCTGTTACTGGAGAATGTCCCAGAATTCCCAACACTGCTCACCTCTCCTGTCAGCAGGTCAGTGATCTTCTGGGTGACTTCTAGAATCTTCTTGCCATTGTTCCTCTTGGGTTTCAGGGAGTGAATTGGAGGCACTTTGATGGTTAGATGGTCACCAGACTTCACCAGAGGAAAACTCTGCATTGAAATAGCAACAATAATATCATGTGACCTCCCAGAATCCCCCTCACCTCTATCCAGCCAGGTCTGTGTTTTATTAACAGAGATAAAAGTGACGTCATGTGACCTCCCAGAATCCTCCTCACCTCTTCGGTCAGGTCTGTGTTTTATTAATATAGATGAGTGATGTCATGTGACCTCCCAGAATCCTCCTCACCTCTCCGGTCAGGTCCATGTTTTATTAATAGAGATGAGAGTGATGTCATGTGACCTCCCAGAATCCTCCTCACCTCTCCGGTCAGATCTGTGTTTTATTAATAGAGATAGGAGTAACGTCATG